GTTACGGTGATCTAGTTGGACGCCAGAATACGCTAATTCCCAGCGTATCGGTATCGTCAATAATTCTTGCTATTTAGATTTTTATAAAGTGATTTTATTAATCCCCCTTCCAATTTGAGCATAGAACATGTAATCGAGTGCGTGTATAAGTACGTATGTGTAAGTGTGTCAATGTCTGTACGCGTGTGATACAGAGTACACAATAACGGGTATGGCTCAGAATAATAATTAAATACTAACATCATGTCCATGTTATCAGGAATTATTATCAAAGCAAATGCATGCCAGATATCGTCATAATTAAAAACTCAACTAAAATATATATAAACAGATATAGATATTCATCATATAAATGAAAATCAAGATGTTGCGGATGCTGTTTTGGTTCTTTCTCAACTTGTTTGCGTTGTTAAGGTGATCTAGTTGGTCGCCAGAATAGTTATGCTAATTCCCAGCGTATCGGTATCGTTATTAATTCTTGCCATTTAGATTTTTATAAAGTGATTTTATTAATCCCCTTCCAATTTGAGCATAGAACATGTAATCGAGTGTGTGTATAAGTCCGTATGTGTAGGTGTGTCAATGTTTGTATGCGTGGGATACAGAGTACACAATAACGGGTATGCCTCAGAATAATAATTAAAAAAATTAGCGTCATGTACACGTTATCAGGACTTATTATCAAAACAAATGCATGTCAGAAATTGTGTAATCATGAAAATAGCTGCAAGTGAGATGATGAGATGTAAGTCTGTACGAGTTTATATCAAACCACCAATATTAAACCTTCAATCTAGGGTCGTTAAGGCTCAATTACTCAAGACTTAACATGACTGGGATTGTATAATATCTTCGTAATTATGATCTCCTATTCATCAGTCATAGGCCAGACTTTATTGGATGGGAAAATGTACCCATCGAATGCAGTGAATAATCACAATTGACTGTCTCAAAAGTGAGTAAACAGCCTCCTCTCCAAAGAGCAGAGAAATGAACCAGATGGCCAAAATCTTCCTGTCTCTTGTGATCTCATTTATAAATTTGCACAGCATTCCTTTTATTTCCTCACTTGGGCAGACTGTTTGGATCAACTTCATTCTTTATGCTTCCTCCTGAGGAACATGCCGTTTCCACAATCCTCTCATCCGACCAAAGATCCCATTGACGATACCGAAAACTCTTTGTTGCATACATTTGTGGACTTTATGAACGCTTAAGACAAGACGAATTCAGTACTGGTTGCCATGACCATCCTCCTCAGCGAAAGGTGGTCTAATTTCGACAAGTTTAGGCTTCAGCAAAAAAGTGACGGTATACTGTAGGCTTTGTGTTCGCTTCATCAATTCTTGCTGGGCAGAATCAAACAAACGTTTAGCTATTTTTTCGTTTATAAGTAGGCTTTCGAGACTGCCAGCAGATCATAAATGTCAAATGTATTCATCCTATTTCATTTCAAGTGATAAGGGGACGGGTAGTTGAATTTTCCCACGATGCTATGAGTAGAGCCTACGCTTTCTTTGAATTTCACATTTCGCATTCTCATCCATATTGAGGTAGTGTGCAATTTCGACCTTGCCTAGGTCTTATCAACACCCTCGGCGGGACTCGAACAATGACAATGCAGCGTATAATCTCGACACTTTAGCCGCTACATCGCATTGCCACGAGTGGCCTTGGGTAGCAGGGCAGATGTGCATTTCAGGGAAGTTAATGACTAACATGTCGAGATCATACGCTGCTCTGTCATGGTTCGAGTTCTGCTGGGCGTGTTGATAAGAGCCGAGGTGAGGCCGAAAATGCAGTCCATCTCAAGTTATATGAAATTACCTTTTGGGAAGGCAAGGTTATGTGAAGTCAAATTGAAACGTAAGATCTACTCATATCCTTTTGATAAAATTCAACTACCAGTCCCATAAACGAAATAGAATGAATACATATGATATATAAATGCTTAGGCCATCTGTATCAAATAAAATGAAAATATCTCTGCTCCATAGACATCTTTGCTTCTTAGTCGAGAATGCCGGTCAGGTAAAAGCCTCTTTTAATCTATCTGAATAATGCTGCTCCTTTTTTTCAATTTTCCACTCTCTCAATATTGAGACTTTGTAAAAAAAATGAGAAAATATGAATTCCTAATGATCCTGTAATTAGGAAATTTATTCAATTTCGCATTGGGAGGGAGGAGTTAATGAAATTAATTCACAAAATGCCCTCACGCTTAATCAAAGTAGGATTGAGTTAGAGTTGTGACTATAGATTTGCGTGAAAAAGTCCCTAAGTGACCATGAATTGCGATCGCTTCTGACATTTTTCAATATTTTTTCCGCTTGTCTTAATCTCTCCCTCCTCTCTCTCTATTCGATGTAACCCTGTCCTTCATATCCTCCCAGATCGCAGAGTCAGCATCGAGCTATCGCGTCTTCCATTGCTGTGGATGCGCCCGGAGACCAGATACTCGGAAAAGGTGCGAAGGCACATGCAGACCAGCCTGTGCATAGGAATTCCGATCCAACGACTGGATCACTACATTTCACGGGTATCCTCTATTTACGCGTTTCACGAGTCAGAGCTTAGTCATGAAGAGCAATTTGGTAAATAACTTTAATCATTTTCCTCAAATTCACATAATCGCAAGAATAATGCCTCTTAGTCTGCTCTAAGTTATTGTTTTTATCAATTACTATGTGCTCAGTTGCATACTATTCAAAAATGACAAGTAGTATTTTGTCTTATCGACAATCCCGCTGGAGGTGCGAATTTTGAAATGCCTCGCTTTCGTTGAAAGTCACATTTTCCTGTTAAGTTGATGCGAAGATCTAGACAATGACGAAATCGCTTTTAGTCCAACATTATTTAAAGTCACTTAAATTGCCTAAAGTTTTAAGTGCTTAAATCTCGATATGAAAGCAAAATTTGACAAGTCTGTTAAAAGTACAATAAAATAAAATATAATATACTATATAATATATAATATAATATAACATAATATTTTATAAATAGTCAATTTTTCTCCATCATGCCATCTACTTAATTTTTTTATTACGACTATTGTCCCAGGAAATTTGGCCATTCATATGGACTGCAACATGTCTGTAAGTGAGGTGGCTCTGGGACTGGCCCTGCAGACGTTGACTCCATTTCGGTTCTCCTGCAATCGTATCCTGATGCAACGACTTCCAGAGCTTTACCTTCCACCATACAACCTGATCCGGCTTTTTGACCCGCTGGTCAGTTATTCTTTAAAACATGTCTTTTTTGCACTTACCACAAGATGAGCTACCATAAAGCGGAAATCTTAAATACGATTGCTAATTGAGTGCAAGAACATGAGGGTTCAGGAAATGAAATAAGACACTTGCCGACAAATTTGATGGTGAGATGAATTTGGTGGCAAAATATAGCCTCATTCTGTCCTGAAGAGCAGAAGCAATTTGTCTAACGACGCACGGTACGGGTGCATCTTGACAGCACTCGATAACCGCTACCAGGTGAGTACAACTAAAAGTACGGGTATCTACAGTAACACATGATTGCGAATGTCTTGGCATGTGCATTGGGCTCGAAAATAAAAATGGCTCACAGGCAATGCCTTGAGACATTGGAACCAAAAATGACAATTCAGGAAGTGAAAGTTGGCCCTACCAAACTACTGATTCTACGTCATGCCGGCGAAAACTGCCCCTTGTCAGGTAGTCTTATGACAAGTTTTTGCATAGGCGAAACGAAATTTTAGACAAGTCCCATTATCCGTCACAACGTGATTTTGACCCAGGATGTACAGGTTTAAACAAAATTAAATCAGCTCCTTAAACATACTTACAGATCAATGAAATACAACCCAGGTTGCCAAGACAAATTTCTGCTATCTGTCGACATAATTACTTTTATTTTCATAATTCATTAGTTTTGAATGATCATAGATGAAGGTGAAGATAGACTTGATTATGTCTTACAATTCACTACCATTTGCAGTCTAAAGGGCGATTTCAGTCCAAATACAATTTTCTGTTTTGCCACGGCAAGCAAATCCTCGGGTATACTTCTCCCTTGTCCTTCTCTCGTTACGTTTGGAGAACATTTATGTCTCGATG